GATGATGGGCTCAAGTATAGCAGGGATTGTGGGGCTGGCGCAGGATCAGGCAGTGTTTCGTTCTGCTGTGCATGGGGTCGCTACGAGTCAGAAACGACTCGATGGCACCTAACAAACACCAACAACTGCACTGTCTGTTCCTGCTGTCTTGTGTCAATCTTCCTCCAAGTATCTGTGTGACTGACTCCCTCAATGTTCTTCAAGGATTTCTTCTAATGTTACTAACTCAGTGAGGATTTTCCCAATCACTCTATTTAAAATTGCAACTTGACCCCCAACTTCCAGCACTTCTGATCCTCCTTACCCAGCTGTAATATTTCTCCATAGCAGTTATCACATTCTAAGCAACTAGATTATTTCCTTATTCATTATGTTTATTGTCTATCTTCGTGTGGTAAAAGGCCAAGGTACAGGAAAGAGTATTACTAACTCAAACTCACTACCATTGAGTCGATTCTGACTCACACTGACCCACATTGGGTTTCTGAGGCTGTAAATCTTTACAGAAGTAGACTGTCCCATCTTTCCTCTGTGGAGCAGCTGGTGGGTTTGAACCTCTGACCTTCTGGTTAGCAGCCAAACGCCTTATCCATTACGCCACTAGAGCTCCTTATTACCAACTACATTTCCTAATTAATAAAGGGGATTTTTTTCCTGTTTTGGTCATTAAGTACACCAGTAATAAGAGAGTGCTTAGTACATGGGTGGCAATCAATAAATACTTGTTAAATGAATGAATAAACCAACGTCTTAAAATGAGGTTAAGCATTATGCCTCAAATTAATAATAAACAAAATTAGTGTTTTATATGTTAGTAAGATACTCTCAGATTTTGGAAACATACAGTTTCTAATGACTTAATCATTTCGATAGTAATTGTAAACAGTTGAATCCTCTAATCTTGGCTATCAGAAGGGCAGAGAAAAACAAGTTCCAGTAAAAACATATTGATTCAGGAGATCAGTAGCATTAAGTGCATTAACAGTCAGTGTCAACCCTGAAGAATTCTTTTCAGTTGTAGTTTATCTTTTATGGAGATCATAACCAGCTAGTCTTATCAATCACAAATAGATGAATATTAATTTCCATTTTTTCTTACTATTTCCCTCCCACAAAGAAAAGTGATAACATCATTAAAAATGTATTGCCACCACCATTTCCTAAGTAGAAAAAACAAAAACAAAAACCCAGGTATTTTCCTCTCTAAATTTTCCATTTTTGATGAATAATACATTACTGAATAAAAATGATACTTACACATCTTGAAATTCTTCTAGAGTTTTTTGTGGTGTAAACACATTTAACAAACTAATTATCTGAAAAGAGAAAATTAATTATACCTCAGTATGCCCAGATAGCCTTACTCTTTATAAAAATTAAGTTTAACATTAAACTGTACTAAACTAGAAAAAATAATTACAGCAGAGGCCAATACTGTTATTATTACTTTTAACAAAACATCATATTATGTGACATTTTAAGATAGATAAAAAATTAAGATTCATACCTTGTAAATAAAAATATACTTTTAATCATATTAATTTTAAGTACCCTTAATAATTTAAATGATTATTATAGAATTTTAATATATAATGGCTGTCTCCCAACATAAAAAAAAATTGAAATTATGGGTGGAAAAACACTTAAAAAAGAGATATGTTAAATCAGCCATAGAATACCGTAGGGAGTATAGTTCAACTCTGACACACATGGGGTCATGATCTATGGCAAATATTTTTTTTTTTTCTTTTTCCTTTTATAAAATGCTACCTTTAGGTTAGCAGTCAAGTACTAATGGTTTGTGCCACCCACGGACCTTCTAGATATATAAACACAGAATAAATGTATAAGATCACATTCTGTGATCAAAACAATTTCACAGGGAAAAGAGAGAGAGACAGAGAGAGAGAGAGAGAGAGAGAGAGATGTTAACTCTGAAAGTTTAATTGCTATGTATAAATTTCTAAAAAGTTTTCAAATATGAAGGCTAAACTCATATTTTTGGTGTGATAAAGAAGAGAAAACCTCTAAGTATCATTTACTTCACTATTGCCAGCCTAGAGGGTTAAACGTCAGACCCTACTGTGGACCTTTTGCTGGTGTTCCCTCTACAAGCCTGCAGAAAAGAAACTGAGTCCCACCATTTGAGTAGGAGATAGCACAGTCTCATCATTTCAGTGATAGAGGGAAAGACAAATTACTCAGTGTAAATGGGACGAGGGTGACTGACTAGGCAAGGGAAAACAAAACTGGATCCAGACTTTAATTTTTATACCAAGATAAATTAAAAATGGGACAAAGCTATGAATCTGAATATGAAACCATACACATATTAGAATATAGACAGACATTTACATAATCCTTAGGTAGAAAATGTTTTTCTAATCTTCATTAAAACAACCTAGAAAATTAAAATACATTTAAACAAAACCAAGAACAAGCAAGCAAAATCTTCAATATACAAAAAAGCACATAAACAAAGTCAAAAGATAAGGGAAAAAAATGAAGCTTTAATGTAACAAACCTTCTATTAAAAAAGACATATGTATAAGGATGTTCACTGCAGTACTCCTAATAATAGCAAAAAATTGGAAACAATCTAAATGTCCAATAGGTGATTGGTTCAATAAATTATAGTAGAGCTATACCATGCAGCCATCAAAAACATGGTACATATCTATGTACATTAGCATATAGGAGGTTTAGGCACATTCCACATGGGAAAAAAGCAAAGTACAGAAGAGCATGATGGAAAGCCTCTTGTTAACACACATGAACACACATATGCATAAGAATGCTCAACAATATGTTAACCAAAGTGATCTCTGGGGGGAAGGATTCAGCAATTTTTGCTTTCTTGTTTACAGTGTTTGAATTCTTTTGAATAATAAGCATTTTTATAACTTGAATTAAAAAAAAATTAGTAAAATAAAGCATGCATTTGAGAAATTAAAAAAAAATCCAAACTATAGCCTCAAAAGAATAAATCTAACTTAGTTTCAAATTTAATATCTAGCTTAAATGTTAAAATAAAGAGAACCAAACCAAACTCACTGCCATCGATCGAGTCAATTCAACTCATAGTGACCCCTCCTTGGGTTTCCAAGGCATTATCTCTACAGACGTACATTGCCCAATCTTCCTTCCAAGGAGTGGCTGGTGGGTTTGAACTGCCAGCCTTCTGGTTAGCAGTCAAATGCCTTAGGCACTATGCCACCAGAGCTCCCAAAATAAAAAGAGGCACATATAATTTAGTATAATCTTAAATACTATTTTTTTTTTTTTTTAAAAAGGCCACCTGAGGTGACCTTCAAAGCTCCTTCTGAATTTAATATTTTATGGTTTTATAATACGGCAAGTGTATAAAAATAGTTCTCAGAGACCATCAGGACATACAATGTGCCTATGTACCACCTCATTTTCTAAAGATATATAATTTCTTCTTAAAAGTCATAGGGCTTTGATTTCTGTGGCAATGCTAATTACAGCTACCCTTAAGTGTAACATTATCTAATATTTATTTTAAAGCAGAGATGTCTGCAATATAAAAAGCTACTTATAGAATGATGTTTTTCCAAAAAATATTTACTTGTTTCTCAATCTGTTAGGCCAATATCATTTTCATTTTATAGAAACAGAACTAATGGAAACCAAGTGATTACGATTAATTTACATTCCTATCTTAGTTGAGTGACCTAAATTCCTTATGGACCATGAAGCGTAGTTCTAACTTCAATTTTCCCCCTTGTTAACTAAAAATTTTGCCAATAAAATATACTTAACAGTAATTTTTATCACTAGTTTATCCTAGGTCTAAAGTCAACGTATCTCCACAAGACCCTGAAGATTATCATATCAATGACAATATTAAAGTACACAAAGGAAATACATACACAAATAACTTACATTCTTATGATTGACACATTTTAAGAGGACAAGTTCACGATAAGCTCTCTTTGCATGGGTTTGATTCTGAAAAGGACGGCTTAGTTTCTTGACTGCAACATTTATCCCAAGAACTGTATCAAAAGCAGCACTATAATTAGGAAATATAATACACAATCCATTAGAGCAGGTTTTGGAAGATGAAGCAATGCAGACTATACATTCAATGTATTATCATTTTATGAGTAACAAATAAGGAAAACTCCTTCTGAATGTACTTAGAAATCACTGAAATGAGGAGAGGCTGTGACCACATGACCAGAGGATACTTGAGCTGATCAACAATCAATTAGCCTGTACATACTGAGATGGTCTTAAAAACAAAACAGAAGCACAACTAAAAGCCTTGGTTGCTTGTTTCCACTCAAAGTGCTTATACTATATATGATGAGCAAGGCAAGTGTGTGGAATTTGAAAGAGCAACTAACTCCTTTGCAGAGGCGTAGACATTTCTGTTGTAGATAGGATAGGATTCAGCAATCCTTTAGACACCGAATTTTCATTACATTAAGTAGAATATATGTTTAGAATCAGGAAATTTAATACGAAGCATGGAATACTGGTCAAGACACCCATGAGTATATACAGGGTTGGCAGAGGCTATTTCTACATAATGCACTGCAAATATATCCAAGATTATTGTATGGTACACAGGCAGCAAAGTTCTGAAAACTTTTTAGCCATAACCAAATACCTTGAGGGCTTAGGGACTTAGGATCATAGTCGTGGTGGACATCTAGTTCAATTGGCATAACACAGTTCACAATGACAGCGTTTTTTACATCCTATTTTGGTGAGTAGCTGCTGAGGTCTTAAAAGCTTGTGAGTGGCCATCTAAGATGCAACTATTGGTCTCTCCTGGTCTGTAGCAAAGAAGAGTGAAGAAAATCAAAGGCTCCAAGAAACAATTAATCCAAAGGACTAATGAACCATGAGAACCACAGCCTCCGCTACCCTGAGACCAGAATGCCACTACCAACCACTCAGATCAGGATGATAACAAAAGGTCCCAGACTGAGAAGGAGAAAAAAAAAAAAAAAAAAAGAACAAAATTCAAAACCATCTAAAAAACAAACAAACAAACAAAAAACAGGCTAAGTGGTCTGATAGAAACTGGTTTGTTGTTGTTGTTATGTGCTGTTGAGTCAAATCCGACTCATAGCGACCCCTCCTTGGGTTTCCGAGGCAGTATCACTACGGAAGTAGG